GAGTATATTTCTATGGTCACATCCATACAAACATAATTTATTTAAATCTATAAAATTTATATAAGTATAGAATTCAAAGTGAGGATAATGTGTGTGAGATTATGAAGGAAAAGACACAAAGAGTTGTAAATATAAAGAAGAAGGGAAAAATAAAAAGAAATAATGATTAATAATCTTTAAAAGAAAATTAAGAAAAACCTTTTGAGCAGCTTTTACTTCTTTGGTTTGAGCAACAGAAGCTAAATATAAAAAATTTACAAAAAATTGAAACTTGATGTTTGGATTTAATGTAAAAAAATATATATATATTTTATTTTTGAGAATTTTATTTAAAAAAATACTAACGCAATTCTGTAAGATCTCCTTCACGATATTCTTTAAGTTTATGTAAGTAGTAGGCATAATATGGATCATTTGGGTTCAAGAAATTAAACTTAGGATTGGTAGCTTCATTACTTCGAATTCTGTCTTCAAACTCAGGACCTAAACAATCAATTTACAAAAATGCAACAAATTAAAAAAAAAAATTTTCAGAGAATAAAAATCATGAAATGAATCTGTAACATATGAAATAAGCATGAAAAGAATGTGGAAATTATTACATGTGGAATTAATTTGCAATGAATCTGTTTTATTTACAATTAAATTTATTTTATTTATTTACAATTAAATTAAATCTTGAGTCAGCATAAATTGTGATAAGTTTTTGCTGTAAATTTATTTTGTCAACCATTTTCTTTTTGTAAGAAATATTTTTGCTGTAGATATATGTTGTCAGCCTTATTCTTTTTGTAAGAAATGTTTTTGCTGTATATAGTATATATATTTTGTCAACCTTTTTCTTTTTGTGAGAAATGTTTTTACTGTAGATATATGTTGTCAACCTTTTTCTTTTTGTTAGAAATGTTTTTGCTGTAGATATATGTTAACAACCTTTTTCTTTTAGTGAGAAATGTTTTAAATTTTCCAACAACTGCATATTTAATTTTATAGTTAGTGCAAAGAGACATTGTTTTTATAGAAAGCTGTATTATCTATTGTATTTATAGCACACACACAAAATGAATTTACTAATTTTTATTGAATATTTTAAGAAAAACTTTATTAAGTTATAAATTAATAAGATGGTAAGCTTTAATGTTAAAAAGTATATTACTAAAAAAAGTAATGTTCAAAAAAAAATATTGTTTTAAAGAAAGTATAAACTGTTGATTGCAAAAAAGTAAAATAAATCTTTTAAAATCTAATTATTATGTCATGAATCAATCAAAATCTAAGGAATATGCGATCAATATAACAGGATTCCAAAATGAAATGATAAATACTTTAAAATCGAGGGATAACATTTTAATTGTCATTAAATCCAAGAACGTTTAGGATTCAAAGATTACATGGAAAAATCTTCAAGCTACAAAGATGTGGATAACCATGTAATTTCCAGGGATTTTTTTAAATTAATAACTTTAATTAAAACTCAAAAACTTTATTACACTAAAAAAAATATTTTAAAAATATTGTTAACTTTCTTTTAATATTCAATTTACTTTTACAAATACAAACACAAACCGTTTCTTGCAACAAAATTTGCAGTTCTGTCCACAATATCTATTAAAAAATACATTAAGGAAACATTCTATTAACCTATAATTCAAAATCAAGAAACTGTTTTGATTATAGATAACAAAGTAAATAACCATAAACATTCATTTTAATACTAAATAAAATATATACCAAAGTATTTTAAAAGTTGTTGAAAAAATAAGCAAAACAAAAAGAAAACAAATATACAAACTGTAATAATAATTTGAAATTTGAAAGAAATGTAATAATAATTTAATAATACATATATCATGGAACCGATTAAGACCCAACCCCAGCAATAACTAGTAAGTAATTATTTAAGATTAACTATAGATTGAGATCAAATTTACACAAGCTTGTTGCTGCAGTTATTAAAAAAAAATGAAACTGGATATGTAACAATTTTTGAAGGTAAATTATGCTAAAAAGTTTTTACGATATGTAAAAAATTAAAAAATCAATAAAGTTATATAAATATTGATTTGTCTACTGAAATGAAAATAATGTATAAAACTGCATAACTTTCTAAATGAAAAGATACTTCTAACTTCCGGAGGTGGGTAAATTATCCCAACCGTAGGCTTTGAATAAAGTTCTCCATCTTGTTGGGATCGCTCAAGTAATTTTCCAGATTCATCTTCAACAACCTCGTGTTCTGCGTTATTATCTACACCTAAGACTGCTGGTGGCATAATTTATACTAAACTAATACTTGAATCACTGTTTATTTAACTAAAATTTTTTATTGCACCAGTAGTTTAAATAAACTAAAAAAGAATTTAAAAAAAATCAACATGATAAACTGTATAGACAACACACAAAAATATAAATATCGTTAAAATTTGTTATAAATATCACAAATATCAATAACTTTAAAAAAACGACTTAAGAAATCAGTAACCATAAACATAAGAACATATATAAAAATATGATACAATATTTTTGTTTCTTTTTACATTATCTATATATTGTAAAATTAAAATTTTTGAAAAATGAATATTATAAAAATGACATGGTCTGCAATAATTAATTTCATTAAAAACCATATTAAAAAAATGTAAACAAAAAAACAAAAAACAACTAAGAACAATTGAGCTTTAATAGTTTTTTAAAATAAATTTAAGTTTAAAATTTTTTTCCCTATACATTAGTCATTAGAATAGGTTAAAACGTGTGTGTGTGTGCATGTGTGCGTGCGTGTGTGTGTGCGTGTGTGTGTGTGTATATATATATATATAAATATATATATATATATATATATATATATAAATATATATATATATATATATATATATATATAAATATATATATATATATATATATATATATATATATATATATATATATATATATATATATATATATATATATATATATATATATATATATATATATATATATATATGGTGTAGGAAAGTTTTTAAATGTTTGAAATAACCAACTTATAAACAACAACGAAAAGATTCTACTTTTTTAAAAGAATCTTTTTGTCATATGTATGACAAAAAAATTCTTTAAAAAAAATTACTGTGGTAGAAGAATGGGAACAAGAAACCCTAAAATCTTAGCCCCCCTGCCCCAAATGTGAGAGCAACAAGTTGATGAAATATTTTTTGTACTATTTTCAACTAGACTTATACTCATTGAGAAATTTTAAATATCATAGTAAAATATTTTAGTGTTCAAAAATTATGACCATATAAAGTTTAAACCCCCTCAAATTGAGGGGGTTTAAACTTTATATGGTCATAATTTTTGAACACTAAAATATGTAACTTTTGTTGGATAAACTCTAAAATATTTTACTATGAAATTTAAAATTTCTCGATGAATATAAGTCTAGTTAAAAATAGTACAAAAAATATTTCATCAACTTGTTGCTCTCTCATTTGGGGCAGGGGGGCTAAGATTTTAGGGTTTCTTGTTCCTATTCTTCTATTACAGTAATTTTTTTTTAAAGAATCTTTTCATAATACATATGAACGTAAAAAAATTTGGAGTATTCTTGTTGTTTATAAGGTAGTTATTTTAAACATTTAAAAACCTTCCTACGCCACTGTATATATATATATATAAATATATATATATATATATATATATATATATATATATATATATATATATATATATATATATATATATATATATATATATATATATATATATATATATATATATATACACAAAAGCATTCCCAAACTAAATTAAAAAAAAGAGTAGTACATTAAATCTGTATATTTTTACCACTTTTGGTTACAAGTTGGTTACTAGTAAAACTATTTTGTAAAAATTCTTTATTTAAAACTAAAAATAAAAAAACATTTATTTTTAACTTGAATAAAACCAATAAAATAAAACAAAATCAATGAAAATAAATCTGTAGAAACTAAAATTATTTAATAAAAAATTGGTATTTGTTAAATAAAAACCCAATATATTTAAAAAATAACTACTAAATCCTATTTTAAAATCTAATAGTATAAAAAATTATAATAAGATAAATGTTTGAATTTGAGACTTGGCAATAAAATTATAAATTCAGTTCTGGAGCATATACTAAAAATGGATTCTTTAATACAACATCAATACGTGTTGGAAACTTTGGATCAACACTTAATATAACTTCTACAGGTGAAAACATTTCCAGTTCTTGTTTAATTGCATCGTCTGGAATTTCCATTATAATAGGTGAATTGGCTAACTTTTCCTGAAGTGCCCACTTTGCTTCAAACTGTTTTTTTAAGTTTTCCAATTTTTCATCGATGTTTCCATTAGGGAGATCTTCATTCTTTTTCCAAAACAATGTCAACTTTGGTTTCAAGATATTATACTCATATTTATGACCTGATAATAATAACTTGTCACAGTATACACGTTTAACAACACCTAATCTAATGCATAAAACATCAATAGATTTATCAAGAACTGCAACAACAACACCTTTTTCTTCAAATGGTCCACATTCTTTGACATAAATTGCAAAAAAAACATCAGAACTTTGCTCAGAAGCTTTTTTGGCAGTCCACTTTCTTTCATTGCAATGATCAGCAATCGCTTGAAGTTGTTTTGGACGACCTTTGACTTTAAATGTGCTATCTAAAGCTGCTGTTAACAGACGATGAACTAAAATATCTGGATAGCGACGAATAGGTGATGTAAAATGAGTGTATATTGGAACATTCAAAGCATAATGCCGATATAAAGATTCATCATCAACGGTGCCTGTACAAAAGTAAGTTGCATTTTGAAATGGTTTAGCACATAGCATTGTAACAGCTGCTTCAATAAACATTCTTGAATCTGACTCTAACTGAGATAAATTTGTAAGTGATTTACTGATACTACTACTGTCACTTATGTCAAAAAAAATGCTATATGCTGAACAAATCCTTTGGACTTCCTGCAGCATAATAGGATGTGGTGCTGGATGATTTCTTAAAATGGCTTGATCTGGATGAGCAGCATAAATTTTTCTACCAACAGCCATATTTGCAAGTAACATAAATTCCTCTATAAGTCGATTACTATCTTTGTATTCATAAACACTGCAACCATTTGGCAAACCAGTCTCTGAATCAAGATTAAATGAAAGTTTTGGTTGATCGATTCTAAGTGCACCAGAATCAAAGCGCCTCTTTCTAAGATTCTGAGAAATCTTAAATAGGCAATGTATTACATCTCTAACTTTTTCAAGGGAAAAACCTTCAACAATAGGAAACTCTTCTTTTTTTAAATCCGAGTCAGTGCCAGTTTCAATTAATTGCTGAGCATGAGTATATGATAGTTTTACACAAGAGCGAATAACAGATCGACCAAACCACTCAGTTAAGACAGTACCATCAGACCGCATGTTCCAAATCACTGAATAAGCAAGTCTGTCTACTCCCGGATTCAAACTGCATAATCTTTCACATAATACTGCAGGTAACATTGGAATAACCTTTTGACAAAGATAAACACTTGTTGCTCGACTCTTAGCAGCAATATCAAGTTTACTTTCTTCTTCTATAAAAAAACTGACATCAGCAATGTGAACCCCTACTTCAAACAAATCATCACCTATTTTTTTACAGGAAACAGCATCATCAAGATCCCTAGCAGTTGCTGGATCAATTGTAAAGATACATTCTTCTCTTAAATCTTTACGCTTTTTAAACTCTTCAGGTTTTATACTCCAAGAATCCCCATTCGGTAAACAAGCAATAATATCTTCACCGAATGGTGAACTGTCAATTGCATTGGCTGCAATAATGGATTCTGTCTCAGCTTCAATATTACCAGCCTCACCAAGGCTGCGCATCAATTCTCCATAAGCAAACCCCATATCAATTTCCCATTCAATTATTCTAGCAACAAAAAGAGTTTTACAAAAATCTTGAGGTCTAGTAAGAAACAAAGGAGGACATTGCTGAAGAGGAATTAAAATTCTGGGAAGACGACTATCAACAGGTGACATATAAGCAAAACCAAATTTATTGCTTCGGTAATTCATGATAAACCCAGTAGCAACTCGTGGGTGTTTTTTTTCAATTATAAACACAACCTTTCCGCGTTTAACGTTGTTAGTTTCATTGACAAGTATTTCAGAAGTATTTTTTTCAGCATTGTTTTCATGAATAACTTTTGTTAGAGATTGTGGAATCAACTCAACTGCAACTACATCTCCAGGTAAAGCTCGATTTCTTGAAGAAACACCTTCAAGTAGTATATCACGCTCATTGTAATCTGCACTTATAAAGGCATCTGTAAATTTCTTAGGGTTTATACGTAAAACACCTTTAATCAATATACCTCTTTTTAAACCATCTGAGCATTTTTCTTTTGTTATATAAGGCTCAAAATCACCTTTTGGTAAGTTTTTCTTTTGATGAGAAGTAATTTTAAAAGAAGAAACTGCTATGTTTTGTGAATTATTATGAGCCATAAAAAAAGTTCTAGAAACCCAGTTTTAGCTAAATAATATTTTATTATCTAAAAAAAAAATGTTGTTAACAAATTTTGACTAACTTAGCATAAGTTATTTGACAAGTTTAATTACTTCAAATTAATTGGATTATCTACTTTAATATTTTCTAATAAACTTTAGTTGAATTTCATACAACAACAATTAAACAAATAAATGATAAAATATGTAAAATATTTGTCAAACTATGCGAACATAAAATTATGAAATTAAAAATATAAAAAATAACTGTTTTTCACTTAACTTTAATATATCAACATAAACTAAAAACAAAAGCAGCAGAACTAAAAAGATTAAAAATTCAATTTAAACTGTTATAAATCTAATGTTGTCATTTTACCTGCAAATGGATTTTTCAGAACTAATGTAACTTTTGTTGGATAATTTTTATCTACCTTCAAAATAACATCAACAGATGCAAACATTTGCATATGTTGCACACTTGTTTCAGGTTGTTCAATAATTGGAATATCTTCATCTAATTCAAATACTTTTTTATCGTCTTTTGTCCATTTTAAGGATAACTTTGGTCTCATTTTTTCATCTAATTCATACGTATATTTGCACGGTAAATCCTGATAATAAACTCGCTTTACAAAACCTAATCTTGTGCATAGAATGTCAACTCTGTTATTAAGAACTGCAACAACAACTCCTTTTTCTTGCAAGGAACCAGATTGCATCAAAAATAGACAAAAAAATAACTCTGAACTTTCTTCTGAAGCTTTGTCTGCATTATATTTTTTAATGTTACATTGATCAGTAATACGTTTTATATCTTCAACACTTTTATTAACAGCAAATTTACTATCTAGAGCTGCTGTTAAACATCGATGCACTAAAATGTCAGGATATCTTCGAATCGGTGATGTAAAGTGAGTATAAAGCGGAACATTTAAACCATAGTGATGGAAATCTTGTTCATTTGTAACAGCTCCACTGCAGAAATAACTAGCAAGCAAAAATGGCTTAGTCAACATTAAAACAATGGCTGGCTCTAAAAAAGTTTTTAATTCATTTTCAAGGCCAGATAATTTCTCAAGAGACTTGTTTATACTTTGGTTGCTACCAAGATCAAAATCTAATTCGTACAACTGAAATAATTTTGCAAGGTCTTCCATCATTATTTGATTTGGAGGAGGATGACGTCTTAACACTGCTTTTTTTGGATGAGCCTCATATATTTTTCGTGCAACTGACATGTTTGCAAGCAGCATAAACTCTTCAATTAACTTATTGCTATCCTTATATTTATAAAGAGATAAACCAATAGGTTTATCTTTTTCTTCATTCAAGTTAAAAATTATTTCAGGTAAGTTATAACTTATTGCTCCTGCATTATGTCGCTGTTTTCGAAGGTTCTTTGAAATTTGAAACAATGTATACAGTGAATCTTTTATATTTTCCAAGGTAAATCCACCATAAATCTTTGGAAAGTCATTAGTAATTAAATAATCAGTTAATTGATTTTCAATTAACTGCTGTGCCTGACAGTAAGTCAACTTAACTTGTGAACAAATGACAGTGCGAACAAACTTTTCATTAATAATTGTTCCATCTGATTTTATATTAAATATAACTGAGTAGGCGAGACGATCGACACCAGGATTTAAACTGCATAGATCCTCACTAAGAATTGAAGGCAACATAGGAATGACTTTTTGTGTTAAGTAAACACTAGTTGCTCGTAATTGTGCAACTTTATCAAGAGCACTATTTTCTTTAACAAAATAACTTACATCTGCTATGTGAACACCTACTTCATAAAGATCATCTGCAATCTTCTTACATGATAGAGCATCATCTAAATCTCTGGCAGTTGAAGGGTCAATTGTAAAGATACATTCTTTTCGTAGATCGCTTCTTTTATTTAACTCTTCAGAAGGGATACACCAGGTATTTTTTTGAGGAAGGGTTTTTAGACATTTTTTTGGAAATGGGGTATCATAAATTAAATTTTTTTTAATTATGGCCTCTGTTTCTGCTTCTACTGAACCAGATTCACCAAGAAAGCTTACAAGTTTACCACATGCATAATACAAATTTTGATCCCAATTAGTTATTTTTGCTAAAAAAAGAGATTTTTCAAAATCTAGAGGTCGATCAATAAAATCTTTAGGAAAATTTTTTAAAGGTAGCATAATAATGGGGAATGAACTATCTGTAGGAAACATTATTGCAAAGCCATATCTATGTCCATAGTAGGGTTTAACTTGACCAGGGACAATTCTAGGATGCTTTTCTTCAATTATTTTAACAACTTCTGCTTTTTTTTGTCGCGTTTTTTCTTCTTGATCTGGCAAAAGCTGTACTGCAACAATATCACCATTCAATGCACGGTTTCTTGATTCAAGACCTTGAACATGTAAATCTTTAACACCATCACCAATTTTGACAAATGAATCTAAACGCGAAAACACTTGAATTGATCCTTTCAAAAGTTTTCCTTGTTCTAATAAAATTTCACATTCAGTATTGGATAAATATGGCTTAAAATGTATTTTAGGAACTTTTGAATATTTTGGGTTAATTTTTTCTGTCTTTAGAAATTTTTTTTGTTGACGAAGTATTTTTATCAAGTATTTGTTTGAAGTTAGTGTTTGTTGTTTAACCAACGATCCATACATTTTGCAACAAACCAATCATTTAGTTACGTAAAGTTGCTTAACAAGCTTTCTTATAATGAAATTTTTTGAATAAGCCAGCTATAAAAAAATTATGTATATATAGATATATAATTTCAACAAACATGTTCATTTATCTTATATAGAGAGAGCTAATTAAAGTAAACATGTTTACTCGTATATCAAAAATATGCATTCATAAAAACTTTAGTTATTATTTAACATGTCTTGTATAACAATTCTCTCGAGTTTTAAAATCTAACCGCATAGCCATACGTCTACGATAACGCACTTAAATTAGCGATACATTTTTTTTTGTTAAGGATTTTTTTCGGCGATTACTATTTTTTGACAAAATTTTTAAATTTTTTTTTTGACGAAACCAACGTTGATATTAATAATATCGACGTTGGTTTTGTCAAAAAATAATAATCGACGAAAAAAATCCTTAAAAAAAAAAAAAGTGGCACTAATTTGAAATATAAAATAATATTATATACCCACCACAACTCTCGATCGTCCATAAAATACATACGCAGATAAGGTCTGCAAATGGCGTACATGAAAGAGGGGGAAGGGGGGTCAGTTATAAATGTAAGGATATACAATTTAAAAAAATATCATAAAATATTGGGTAGGTAGATTAAAAGTGTAGGTACTTTTACGGAGATCGAGGGTACTCAAAAAAGCGGAAAGCAAAATACGCGGGGGTGGGGGAATAAAAACATAGTGTTGTCACGGTACTTTGTTAGCAACACGGTTCTTTATTAAAAAAAATATGAAAACAACTGCATATATAATTTTTTAGATAATTTTAAAAGCTCTCTATGATATGACTTATATTTTTTTTCCGACTTTGGAATGTTTTGGAAACTACGGGCCGCGTCGTCAAATTTTGGCCGAAAATCTCCCAATTGTTTGCGCGACTGATAAAACTCGGAGGGTGAATAAGCGCGAATTTCACAAGTGCGAACTGGCAAAAGTGCGAAGCGTTGCGAAATCTGGCATAAGTGCGAATTTGCATAAGTGCGTTAAGAAATTTACAAACATTGGCATAAGTGTGAATTGGTATAAATGCGAATTGGCGTAAGTACGAAGCAGAAGTATGAATGGGAACTAACATAAGTGCAAATCAGTAACAAAAACTGTCATAAGTGCGATTTCGTATTAGCGCGAATTGACATAAGTGCACCGAATAAATTTGCAAATATTAACATAAGTACAAATTGGCATTTTGTACTTATGCCAATTTGCACTTATGCCAGTTCACACCTATGTTGATTTGCACTTATGCCAATGTTTGCAAATTCTTTCGGCGCACTTATGTCAGTTTGCATTTATGCCAATTCGTACATATGCCAATCTTTTCAAATTCTTTTGGCGTACTTATGCTAGTTCGCATTTATGCCAATTTGTACATATGCCAATTTGTACATATGCCAATCTTTGCAAATTCTTTTGGCGTACTTATGCCAGTTTACACTTGTGCCAAATCGCACTATTGCAAGTTCGCACTTATGAAATTCGCGCTTTTTCAGCCGTCCCTTAAAACTAAGTGTTGTGTAGACTCAATGATATATTATATAACTATATGTCTAACTTCGATCCGAAAAATGAATCCGCTTTGCCCTTTTTACAAATGGCAGAATAAATTTGTACACAAATATTATTTAACTTTTCTTCTCTTAAACGAAGGCAATATACTTTGAATAAAAATACTATTTATCTAAAAGTGTTAAGAGGGAACAAGAATACTTAGAAAATAATAATTTATAATTCTTAAATTTATTTTCGATTAAAAAGGAAATAAAGTTTAGAATAGAAAAAAAAACAAAAACGAAAGACGCTTTTAAAGCATTTTTATGTATTATAATACATTCTTATGAATTATAATACTTTTAATAAACGTAAACTCATAAAAAAAACTTTTGTAAGTATTTAATAAATATTAAAACGAGTTTTTGAATTATCTTTAATTTATTAGGAACTTTTGACTTGCATTTTTTAATTTTATTCCATACATCGGCTTCAGCTTTTGCCCTTTTTACAAATGGTAAATTACATTTATAAACACAAAAAAGCGGGCTCACTTTTTATCCAGTATGATCCCGCAGGTTAGACCTCTAGTTTATAATTGATTGTATTTATTATTGATTATAATTATTGTATTGATTATAATTATTGTATAAAGTATTGTATTGTATATATTTGTATGTATTGTATATATTTTATATTGTAGTTAATATATATATTATAATATATAATATATAATAATAAGTATTGTATATTTGTATATATTGTATATATTTGTATATATTGTATATAAAGTATTGTATTGTATAAAGTATTGATTATAATTATTATATGATTGATTGATTTAGAAAATCATGACAAAGCGATATTTAGAAAAAATGCAAGCATACCCAGCAAACATTATTTAGTGAATTTGCAGTGGATCTATATAAGCATTTTGAAAGATTCATTAAAGCTTTGCTCAACAGTTTCTTAAAGGACCATTAAAGTTGGCCGTTATAAAAGTTAATAGTGGCAAGTATTTGGCTAGCCATCTATGGCGGCTGCAGATAATGGTTTACTAAGTAACTAATAAGCAAAATTACAGTGGATCGTTCAAAATGTCTATTAAGATCCATTGAAATATTACTATAGAATGTTTACTGGGATATTGTCTAACAAATATTAAATTGGTTTAGAACCAGGATTAATTAAAGTTTTTTATCATTTAATAAATAAACGTGTTTTATTTAAAACACGTTTATTTATTAAATGATAAAAAACTTTCAAAAGCGCAACGGATTCCTAAGACAAAAATTACTTTCTAAATTAAATACACGTTCCTTAACGTAACTGCAGCTTTATAAATATTTTCAAGTATTGCGTATACCGATTGAAGTGGAAAAAGATCTTTTTAAATATTTAAAATAATAAAAACTTCGGTCATAAATAGGACAAACCAAATTAAATTGTGTCACATGATAGAGCCGAAAATATTTATCCTAAAAAAAATCACCAAAATATTTCACAACCTAACAATTTAGAACTCAAAGGTATACACAAACACTTTAACATCATTTAAAACTCTTATTAGCTCAGACTACAAAAAGTGTCATAAATACTCAATACAAGTTTTTTGATTTGGTGAACTATATACACTAGTTAAGATCGGACCCGTAAAAATATGGTCTTTGTAAGTCTATTCCAAACCAAACTTTTTTATACTTTTCCCTTATATATCCTAGCTTTCCGGATCCAGAAAATACGGGTCATAAAATACCAATTTACATATCTATTCCAAACCGATTATTTATATACCTATTCCTTATTTACGTAAATATTTTTTAGTTAAAAATACATAGAGCTTATATAAAACACAGAGAGACTTACAGGTTTTGGTTTGTTTTTCTGCTAAATGCATTTTTTTTGATAGCTCAGTGGTTAATTGCGCTGTCATCAGTGTTGTTTTGGAGGGTTTAAGATCTCCTCTTAGCGTAATAATTTTTAAAATTTGTTTTATCTTGCTTATATATTTATAGCAAAAAAATATTAATATAGCAAAAAAGATTTCTAAAATTTAAAATAAAACTTTAAGAGTAGTAAGAGATTGCCGATTCTGAGCCATTTTTATTTTCAACCAAATTTTCAACCATAAATTAATATTAATATTGGGTTAACATTGAGCCATATTGTGTATAAATTATTTCAACAAGAAATAATTTTTTATTTTAAAAAATTGATTTTTTAAAATAAGTGTTAATTTTTATTTCTTGTTATGAAATATTACGAAAAATTCTTGCATGACGTCACGTGACTTTTCTTCAATAATAAATTTGATCTGGTGTTTTTAACTTTTCTTTTTTTAATCTTTCATTGTGCTTTCGCTCTGCTATCATAAGACTGTTTGCAAATTCGTTTGCGTAGTGCTTTCGCTCTGCTATCATAAGACTGTTTGCAAATTCGTTTGCGTCGTGCTCTCGCTTTGTTATCATAAGAGAGTTTGCTAATGCACAAGTATTACATATTTTTTTTTGCTTTTTTTCAATTTCTTTTTGAATATCATTTTTGATATTTTTTAATTCTTTTTGAATATCATTTTTGATATTTTTTAATTCTTTTTGAATATCATTTTTGATATTTTTTAATTCTTCAATTTCTTTTTGAATATCATTTTTGATATTTTTTAATTCTTCAATTTCTTTTTGTTTTTTTATTTGTTTTATTATATATTTATCATCACTATATTTACTAACTTCATCTTCTTCATTAAATTTATATAATATTTCTTTTATTATTTCTATTAAATAATCTGCTTTTAACTTTATTTCAACATTTTCATCATCATATATTTTTATCAACATATCTCTTGTTGATATCATTTCACTAACTAATATTAATAATTCTAGTCTTATTAATTTTAATAATTCTTTTTTATTAATATGCTTATATATATTTTTTATTATTATATTTATGCAATCTAAATCTGATTCTAGTTCTGATTTTGTTTCTTTACTGAATTTTTCAGATTTTAATATTAAATCTTTACTCATTACTTCTAATCTTTTTTTTAAGTTTAAATATGCTGGATTAATTATTTCGTTTTGCATTTCGCTTTCCATTCTTTTTTATATACACAAGAAAATTATTTAACTCATTTTCAATTTTTTTTTATTTTTTAATGTGCATGCGCTAGTTCTTACGCATAGTAGTCTAGTTCTTACTGTATTTTCTTTTTAAATCCTATTTTACGTAAATATTTGAGTTCAACTGTATCTTTTGAACATTTATAACCTAATGATTGTAAATACTTGAGTACTTCATTTAATTCCCAATTTGTTCCTCTATATCCTTTTGAATGTAAATATATGAGTGCTTTAAGACTTCTACTTATTTCAACGAAATCAAGTGTATCTTTTGTACCTTTATAACCTTTTGAATGTAAATATTTAATAATTTCAATGTCTCCATTTAATGCAGCATAATCAAATGCATAACTTGTTCCTCGATATCCTAATTCATGTAAATATTTGAGTGCAGTACGATTTTTATCTCTTACAGCTAAATCAACTGAATCTCCTGAACATTTATAACCTAATGAATGTAAATATTTTATTTTTTCTTTATCATCTTCTTTTTGTATTTTGTTTTCCATTCTTTTTATATAAAAAA